GTATTTTCTAATTTCCCTAGTGATTTCTTCTTGGACTTTTTGACTGTTAAGAACATGCTGTTTAATTTCTGTATATTTATTCTTTTTTCAGTGTTATCTATTATTGGTTTCCAGTTTTATTTCATTGTGATCATGAAAAGATACCTTATATGATATCAGTCTTTTAAAATTTAATGATCTTTGTTTTGTGATCTAACAAATGACCTTTTATGGCAAATATTTTTCCATTACAACCTATAACATATCAATCATAGTTATTTTAAATTGCTTGTCTGATAATTCCATATCTTAGTCTTATATTCCAGTATCTTAATGTCCTATCTTTGTCTGCTTCTGGTGAGGGTTTTGTCTCTTCAGTTTCCTCCTCCTCCCTGTCTTTCTCTTTGACATCCTCTTCCTCCTTCTTTTCTTTTCCTTTTCTTTTCTTTTTTCTTTTCTTTTCTTTTCTTTTCCCTTCTTTTCCTTTTTCTTTCTTTCTTTCTTTCTTTCTTTCTTTCTTTCTTTCTTTCTTTCTTTCTTTCTCTTTCCATCTTTCTTTCTGTCTGTCTTTTTGGCATATATGGTAGGCTTAGTGAAGGGTCCTGAGCTGAGGATCGTTCTGGGTCATCTAAGGGGATTCTAAGTGCCATCATGTATCTTATGAGAGAGGTAGAGAAAGATATGACACTTGACACACAGAAGAGGAGAAGGGGATTTGGCTGGGGAGTCAGAGATTGGAATCACCATACTGAGCAATGCTGGAGGCCTCCAGAAGCTGGAAGAAACATGGGAACATTCCCCTTTCAGACCTTCAGAGGAGGCAGGAAGTGCAGCCCTGCTGATCCCTTGATTTCAGCTCAGTGAGACTGATTTTGGATTTCTGGCCTCTAGTAAGAACATAACAGTAAGAACATAACAATAAGAGAGAATAAATTTCTGTTGTTTTTCACCATTGAGCTTGTGGCAATTTGCTATAGTAGCTTTGAGAAATTAATGCAGCATGTATTGTGCATTTTTCTTGAAAGTTGGACATGTTGTAGAGAGGAATGGATACTGAAGAAATAGACTATGAGTTAGGGACTGATGTTAATCTGGCAAGGTCTTGGGCTCTACTTAATGCTTGCAGCTGCAGACACCAAGGGGCTTTTGGCTCTTTAGTGTTCTTGTTTTCTCCTCCTCTGTTAGCCATGGAGCTTTGCTTTGGTACTGCCCCTCAGAGAGTCTGTGTCTTGCAGCTGTAATTCACTGAATTATAATGGATCCTTATCGGAGCCTTACTGGTGTGCTGGTGGTAAAGTGTGTGTGTGTGTGTGTGTGTGTGTGTGTGTGTGTGTGTGTGTGTGTGTGTTTTCATTAATGATCAGGAGAGACACAAAATAGAAATAAAATTTTATTTCTCATAGGTCCCAGGGGAGTACAGAGGCTATAAACATGGAGGTCAGGGAGCATATAAAGATAAAGAGGGGGACCCAGGGGCTAATGCCTTATGGGGTATAGGGTATTTTCCAAATGGTCTTCTGGTGGGGAATTTTAATATGTGGCTTTAAAGCAAGCAGGGATGCATTCCAGGAGGTTACATGTGAGTGAAAGGTGGTCATTGTGCCATAGTTCACAGTCCACACAGGGTGTGAGGGTCAGTGGGGCCGGTAAAGTAGGCTGCACCTGGTCATCCCAATGTGGAGGGGACCCCAGGAGGAAGTTGTATAAAGCAGAGACATCTGGATTGACCACAGTGAGGAACTGGGAAGCGGTGCAGAATTGGAAACACCCAGGGTGGCTGAGCGCTGTTTTTTGCCTGAGGAAGTTAAACCTACATCCTAAGTGGATGCCGAGACAATCCAAAACTGTTAAGAATTCACTACAGAGAGAGAGAGGCAGGGCGGGAGGGCTCTCTGTAATCTCCCAAATTCCGTTTTTTGGGGGCCCCTGATATCTGAAGCTGCCCTTCCAGAAATAACTTTCTTTTCCTCCTTCAGGCATGGACCTCCTCCTTCCCCCATTTCTTTTCCCTTGGGCAAACTGGAAAGTATGGAGAGCATCAGAGGGGGGCTGATTTCCCTCATTTAGTTGGGATAAAGTTTCAGATTTGCCACTGCAAAGTCCTGCCCTCTAAAGATTAAGGGAAGGTCTGGAGGGCTTCAGTGCTGCTTCCCTTGGTCTCTTCCTCCCAGGGCAGCAGAAGGTGATGCCTCAGATTCTCCCATTGGAATATTAGGAGTTTCTCAGAGGAAAAAGTTGTAGAGTCTGAGGCCTTTCCTTCCCTCCCCGTGACTGTGGCATCCACCAGTGTCTTGCTCTCAGTCTGCACTTAGCCTTCTGCAGATCATCAGAACTGCTAGCTATGAGTTCCAGCTGACTTCCAGCAAGGGTCCAAGTGGGCAGACCTGGGGAACCGTAATCCTCTAGGCACACATGATATCACAGAGTTTGGGGGGCACTTTGCCCTGCAACTTCAGTTGTCTGATGAGTTCAAGTAAAGTCATTAATCTTTAGCTTGTGTAGCCTTTTCTTGTTTTTAAAAAGAGAGTAATGACTTCCAAACCCTTTACATGTCAGAGTTTAAAACAGAAGTTCCTATTATGACTATTTTAGTATCAATCTGCTATAGCAAGTAAGAAATATTAAGAGTCACAAAGTCATAGGATTATAATCCCAGAATCATAAAGACCTTGGCACATAGACACATAGAATTTTACAGCTGGGAATCATAAATTCAATGAATAAAAATTCTCAAATTGAAGCTCTCTCTGGGCTTGCCTGTGTTTATAGGATGATGAGATATAAAATGATTTTCTTGATCTGACCTGTTCTATCTCTCTGGCCTCATTTCTCACCACTGATCTCACTTCCCACCCCAAACCTATTCTTTCTCCCACACTTCCTGTCAAAAACGAATTGTCTCATTCCAGGGTTCCAGACATGTCCTAACCTATTCAAGATTCCACGATGCACTTTTATATTACCCGGAACATGGAACACCCTCAGCAATCATTTGTTAATCTAATTCATGAATAAAATCTTAAAATTCTCAGCACAGCGTGTAGCACATGGAAATATTAAACTGTAGCCACCTCTATCAGTGTGCCTGATACTCTTCTAAGCATTTCATATGCATTAATTTATTTTATTTTCATTACCAGATGTAGTAGATGCTATTACTATTCTCATTTTAAAGACAGGGAAACTAAAACAGAGAAGTTAGCAACTTAGCTAGGCAGAGACAGAGCTGAGATTCAAACTCAGGAAACTCATAAATGGGTTGTGCGGAGCATGAAACTCATTATCTGCCAGGCATAGCACTGATGTCAGATGTGTCACACACATAATCTCTAATTACATGACAACCTCCATAAATGCACGAAGAAACGGAGGCCCAGAGAGGTGGGCCACTTCTCCAGGGTTACTCAGGTGGTGAAAGCTGGCACTGAAGTTCAAATCAGGCCTGACTGCTGTAAATCCCACACTCTGCTATTTGCTGCAGGGCTTCTGGGCTGTCTCTTCACGAAGTGAATACCTTTGTCCTTTGTCAAGTTATCAACCTACTCTCCCCTGGAGACACAGCTCCAGGATCCCTTTCTTGCAATGCCCTCCCCAATTCTACTCACCCAACCTAGTTGCCCAAGTTAGTTTTTGCACACCTCCTGCCCCTGCCCTCCACACAGCTGGGGAGCCCTGTGGTAAAGCATACAGGCTCTGTGCTCAGGTGGTCTTGGTTTCAAACCACGGCTCCTCTGAATGGCCCTGACTAATGCTTTGTGTGACCATTTGAGCCTTGATTTTTTTCATCTATGAATTGGCACTAAAAAAACCAGCTCCCTCATAGGGCTGGGCGAAATACACACAAATTTTGACTCATTGTTAACCAAAGTGTTCACCACGGTGCGTTACAATGCTCTGAATAAGCGTGTGTCTCTGCCACTTGACTGGAGGGCAGGAACTAATTCTGGTGTGTCGCTTTGCCACTAGCGCTCAGTATGGTTTAGAACAGGTATTAAATAAATGTGGAATACATGAATGGAAAAGAAATGAATCAATCTTAGAATCCTACAGTCATAATGTCACACATAACATGTAAGAACCTTGTGTCACGTAACTGTAAAGCTGGAAGGCTCTTAGAGACCAGCTTCCTTGGACTTTCAGTCTTCCTGACTGTTATCCACAGCTGGCAATACAGTCTATATTGCCACTCATCACACACCCGGAGGCACACATACTCGCACCAATACTTCCTCTCCTGTCCCCTTCTCTTCTTTTCCCTTCCCTTCTCCTCTATCCTTTTTTACCTTTTCCATTTTTAAAAATGCTAAGTGCGCTAAGTTCACTGGGTTGATTTCATGGCCCATACAGGCACTGTGACCTATGGTTCGAAAAATACCTCTCTGGCCTCACTGCTTTTTCTAGCATCTCTCCATTGACTCCTGAATCTACACACCCCCGGGGAAGGGAAGTTCCCCTCAGGTGATGAAAGGTTTCATTGCTGGACAGCACTGCTTGCTAGAAAGTCCTTCCAGCAAGCTGAAGAGAGCATCCTGTACTTCCCCATTTGGCTGCCTGCTTTCTGCTGTTTGTTATGAAGCAACTCATCTGTCTCTGGGTTCCCCCTTCCTCTCTGTTCTATAGCTCTCTGTGCCTCCTATAAGTGCAAAGAGCCTAAAAGTCCACTGTCATTGCCACTCCTAGGAGTGAAGGTGTTGATCTTCACAACCATCTCCCATGATTATTTTTGTTTGCTGTCATGGGGACGAGGGCTACTGAGGCTAAAGCATGGCTACTGACTGAAGTCTTCAGCTATTGGAGCAGAAAAGTTTATTGGCATGTGGGAAAGATCAAAAGAGGTTTCTTCCCCAACCCCAGTTCTCCTTTGCTTGTTTTCTCAACTGCTTGAATTTTCCTAGTGAGGTCCTCAGTTGGTTAACGAATAGCATCTCAGAAATCACAAGTAGGCACACTGAAACAGTATGTCAGTCTTTCACATTTTAGTTGGAATTCTCCCCAGCCAATCTTTTCTTCTTTCCCTCTAGGATTAGCCTGAGGATGGGAATTCTGATGGCAGCCTACCATAGGATCTCAGAAATGGTGCAAGCGGCAGTAATTGCGCTTCTCCTTGAGGTAAGTTTGTAGGACTACACAACAGTCTTGACCTTTTAAAGTCCAAATTCTTTTTATTCATGCATGAGCAAACATTTATTTAGCACTTTCTGTGCTAACAGGCCTTGCCTTAGGTGCTGAGATACCATCATGAGCAGGACGAGCTCATCATTGGCCTGCCTGGAGTGTGCAGTCCAGCAGTAACAAGGGCCATCAACCAATTATAACAAGGGTGTGATAGGTGTTCTGCCAAGGTCAGGGAACTAAGGGAGCTCAAGGGTCTCTTCATGGGGTGGGGTGGGGTCAGGGAAGGCTGCCCTGGGAGACAAGAGCTGAGATTTCCGGGACAAGGAGCCTGGGGATGAGTGACCACTCTCTTACTCTCCTGGGCTTCTCTGATCACCGTCACTGTCCGAAGCCCAGCTGTTTCACTGCTTTAAACCAGCTGTTCCCAAGCCTTAACTCAATCGGAAAGCTGTTCCGTTCTGTCTTGTTAAACTCCAGATTTCAGGCTGGGGTTCTGTGTCTGGGTGAGATCTACACTTCAGGCCTTGGCTCACACCTTGGGAAACCCTGGGCAGCATTAGCATCCCTCTATAGTAATCTCCAAGACTGTTTGAGCTTCTGAAAGCCAAGAGGAAACAGAAAGGGGCAGGAAGGTTGTGGTTGTTTTTCTGGGATTACCAAACTGGAGAAGCAGAGGACAGTGCTGCCGGATCTGCACCTCACCCAGGGCCCTCTGCCTCCCTCCCTCCCTCCTTTCCTTCCTTCCTTCCTTCCTTCCTTCCTTCCTTCCTTCCTTCCTTCCTTCCTTCCCCTTTCTCTTTGTCTCTTCTTTCTGAGGTATTCTTACTCTATACAGTGTCTCCTGAAACTGCCTACATGCCACCAACTTGCAAATGCCTCTCTTCCTTCCCTACTACCTGTCTGCCCAGCCCAGACTCCCATCTCAAGCTGCAATGGCCTCTTCCTCTTGCATCCTCCCTTCCCCTCCTGCAGTCCTCCTAGGCGCCCCTACTCCTGCCAGCCTTTAGTTTGCAAACGGGGTCCCATCCAGGTTCCTCTCTGCCCAAGGCATTGCTCAGGGATTACAATCCTCCCTCCTCAACACAGCCTGCTTGACTGGGCCCTGCGGCTTCCCCTGTGACCACTGCTCCCTTAGTCTGCTTCCACCACAATGGTGTGCTGTGGCTTAGAGATGCCCCTCCTGCATGCTGCATTTCTCTCTCTCTCTGGAACAGTCTCCACGTAGAACACCTCACAGCTCCCTTCATTCAGGTCCCAGCTCACATTCCTCCCTCCTCAGAGAGGACTTCTGTCCACCCTATTATATACCTGGTTGCTCTCTACCCCTGCCTTCTTTATTGTCCTTCATGCTAATTCAGCCACCTGGACTTGCATTGCTTGTTTACTGCTTGCTGTCCACTCTTCCCTCCAGAATGGAGCTCCCCAGAGGGTGGAACCTGCTCACTTACTCAGCACCTCTGGTGCTCTATAAAGAGTTGCAGGAATGAGTAAATTGATAACAAAGTGAATTCATTTAACCATGGTGCTGTGCCAGGCACTGAGGACTCAGGCATGGAGCAAGTGGACAGGGAAGGGCCCTGCCATCAAGGGGTTGGATCACCATCTTGGGGAGAGATGGCTTTATATTTGCAGGAGCCTCTGAGCGCCATGTGTGCCTCATGTAGGCTGGATCTGATTCCTACCTAAGAAGATAGGTTGAGGGTGAAAGAACTATGGGCCCTTGCAGCAAACAGCTAGATTTTAGGGGCCGTCCAAGTCTCTTTTCTGAGACTCTATGGGCTTTCTGTCACTCTCTGGCCCCCGGGGCCCTGAGGCAAGGACAGAGGCCCATACTCACAATGAGGGATTTTGAAGATCGTACTTACAGGATGGGTGAGATCCAGTTCTGCTGGGTTTGGACCACAAACTCTGATTAGAGAAATGAACAAAAACCTGAGAGAAAGAGAACATCTTTGTGAGGAAGTCAGGGAGCTTCACTGGAATGAAGCCTTGAACTGATTTAACCTCCTAGCTTTACTGAGACAGCAAAAAAGGCACTGTGTTCTGCTAAACATGGGTGCATATTTTAGATTAGAAAGGCATGGTGACAGTTATGCTGAATTGTTAACTTTTTTTTTTTTTTCCGGTACCAGAAATCGAACTCAGGACCTTGCGCTTGCCAGGCAGGCACTGTGCCGCTCAGCTAAATCCCCATCCTGAATTGTTAACTTTATCAAGTCGTTCCCAGGCTGTTTCTCCTTGTTTCACCAGCAAGTCTTGCCTCTGCCCACGCTGGTAAAGCACCTCATTTTCAAGTTGTTCCAACTCCTCAGAGTTGGCTGTTTTCTGTGCCCTGAGTCAAGTTGAGCAGATGTTAACCCTTTGGGTGCTACAAGGAACTCCACACAGTTCTTACTGGTGCTGGAATCAGGAAAAAGACTGACTTCACTTCACTAAGAGGAAACCGAGCTGTACCCATGGCTCAGCCTGGGGAAGACCTGTGGGCACCTTGGCACCACTCAGACAACCCACAGGAGCACTCCAGTGTCCCCACTTCTCCTAGAGCCTTCCAGCCTCACAAAACAGGCCACCCACAGCTTCCCACCTCCTGCAGCCCAGCCGTGGTTGTACCCTGACTGTAGATGGTGTGACTGAAGCTGAAGAACAGGTGCATAAGCCCAGCAGGCAGCCTACTTTCACAAGAAACCTTTGGTTTCCTTCCTTCCCTTATTCCACAGCATACATCCTCTTTTATTTTTATATATTCATGGATCTATCCACCCATCTATCCATGAATCCATAGGTCCATAGACTGATCAATCAATCAATTGACCCATCCATCCAAACATCAACCATCCTTGTACACAACTGTCCATGGATTCATTGTCCATTCAATACACTCTCACTGAATACTACTATGCTCGTGGCATTATTCACAGTAGTGAACAGGATGTGGTCCCTGCCCCCAGGGCTTAAGGTCTAATAAGGGAAAGAGTCCCTATGTAACTAATTGCAAATTGAAACTTTAACACAACTATGATAGATGCTGTGGCTATGGAGTGTTTGAAATGTGGTTAGTGCCTCTGAGCAACTGAATTTTAAATTTTATTTAATTTTAATTAATTTAAATTTAAATTTAAAAACTAAAGTAGTATAAAAGCTGTGTTGCTGTTTGTTCCACAACACTTTATTGTTTTGGCAGGACAACATTTTTACTTTGTAGTAAATCCAAAGACTTAAAAAAAAAAAAAAAAAGCATGTCTCTGGTGGTGCATGCCTGTAACTGAGGTACTTGTGAGACTGAGGCAGGAGTACCACGGCTCAAGGCAAGCCTTGGCTACACAACAAGTACAAGGACAACCTGAACTGCCTAGCAAAACCCTGTCTCAATAAAACAAAGCAAAAGAGCATGTAAACTATCACAATATTTTCATTGTTTGCATATTGATATGATATAACTGAATATTGGATTAAATTATATTAGTAAATATTAATTTCACCTTTTTAAACCTTTTAAATGTAGATTCTGTAAAATCTAAAATTCTGTGTGTAGCTTACGCTATATTTCTAGGACAGAGGTGAGCCGAGTGTGGGACACAGAGGACAAATTAGCGGGGAGAGGAGATGTGAGGGGTTTGGAGAAGGTCATACTTGTTAGGATGGAAATCACATTTATTAAGCTCCTAGTTTATGAACAAGAGTTCAGATTCTATGTGCGTAAGATTCCAATAGTACTAGATAGACATAATCAGTCTCTTGTTACAGATGCAGAAACTGAGGTTCGGGGAGGTAAAGTAAGTTGACCACAGCTCTGTGCTGGGCAGTCCCTAGGTCAAACAGTTGAACTTGGCAGAGGTACCCACCTGTACTGGCTTTATTTATATCTCTGCACACTGCTTTCAATTCAACTCTGTCAAATTTCTCTTTCCTGATTTTTTCTGGTCCCTCAGACATAGCTCACCATTTCTGGACACCTGCAGAAATGTGCTCTATAATGCTGAATGAATGGATGACAATGAAAGGATAATTTCTCCAAACTAGGAAAAAGCTATTCTGTGTCAGGGCCTATTTAAGGCCCAGGCCTAACTAGCCTGGTGTAAAACGCCAGCATCACCCTCAGTTTAGCACCTACCCCCTCCCCTCAGCTTGGTCAGTGCTGCCATGGATCCCTGCTGAGGAATATGGTAGGGTACATGTGGAGGTGTTTTATGTTCCTCCTTCCTTCCCTGTGGAGGTCTCCGCTGTTCTCTGGTGTGGTGAGTTCTGGGAGGGGAGATGAGGAAGTGTGGACCTCTTCCCCTCAGCAGCGCTTCATTCACTGGGGCTCGAAGGCAGAGGCAGCAGCCTGGGGGTGGGGGCGGGAACCACAGGTGAGACCCTGTAGGAGGGCCCTGCCTCTGCGCATGTGTGTGTGCCAGTGCACCTGCTTGCATGGTGGACTGTGCACTGTACAGTCTCTTCCAGGAACTGGTGCAGTTCTACAGCTCTGATCTTGGAATCTGTGCAGCCTCAGACCGAAGTTCTAGGCTTGGTCTCTGTCCTCCCTGGCAGATCTCTCAAAGGACTTTTCCCTCTTGCCAATTTGCATAGAGGAAGTTTAGGCCGCTATCCTGTCACCCTCTCTTTTCAGTTCCCCTTTCTCCTGCTCAGGGTGGCATGAAGCTAGACCAACAAGTCTATGTCTGCTGCATGGAGAAAGAGCAGCTGAACCCTTGCAGGCACGAGTCTCTGGGAGTTATTTCCGTGCAGATCCTCGCCTGGCTGGACTGTAGGGGAGGTTGGGAGAAAGGGGAACTCTGTAACACCCCTCTCCCACCCCATCCTGGCTGATAAGCTTTCAGACTTCTCCAGATTAGCCTCATGTGCACACCACAGGCACTGGGGGTTAGGGCGGGGGAGCCCAGCCTGGCTGCTGCATCTTCAGTCCTAGGGATGTGCCCGAAGGTCCCTCATTAGAACGCAATTCCTGCTGTGCCCAGCACTGTGCTGACCTCTGGGTATAACAGGACATAAAGCAAATTCATGGCAAGTTGTCTTTTCATGGGGGTAACAAAGCAGAGCAGTGTATATGTCTGTATGTCAGGATGCACCATCAGGAAGCCAGATGGAGTACGGGTGGAGAGAGACCCAGGAGAGGTTGTTTTCATCAGCAGACCAGGAAAACAGGCAGCTGCATTTCAATTCATTTTTTCCCAGCTTGAAGCCACTAGACAATCCCTGGTAGCAGGAAATGCCTGTCAGACCCTGAGCGAGCCTACTTAAGTGGAAGACCCTGGATTGGGTTTTGAAGTCCAAGCTCTAATGAGGTGTGGTGCACACCTGTAATCCCAGTGTAATCCCACCTGTAATCCCTCCAGGAGGCTGAGGCAGGAGGATTGCAAGTTTAAGCCTAGTTTGAGCAACTTAGCAATTCAATAAGCCCTTGTTTCAAAATAAAAGAAACTAAAAAATGTCTGGGGATGCAGCTCAGTGTGAAGGCCCTGGGTTCCATCCCTAGAACTGGAGGTACTGGAGGGTGTGGGGTCCATGCTCTGTGTTTGGTCATGTTTGTCCAGGCTTAGTTCACCAGCCTTGCTGGGACTACCACTGATCCACTCTCTATTCCTAGAAGCTGTCTCAGGGCAGGCTTTTAGTGATGTCCTCTCAGCGAGGAGGAACCTCAGGGAGAGAGGACCCCAAAGCTCATGGTGTCAGGGCTAGCTCTGTGGCTGGAAGCTCGAGGCAGAGCTCAGCCCCTCCCTTGTCTGGCTCAGCACCAGAGGCAGCAGCCACCTCCCTAACCGTGGGTTAGGAGTTTGGGCGGGGCCCTTTTCCACAGAGACCACTTCTCTCACTCTGGTTTATAGCTCTGCTCCAGGCCTGGTTGGGAGTGAGCAGCGGGAGGTATAAGGCAGCCCTAGGCTGGCAGAAGACTAGGCGGTGGCCTCCAGGTTGATCAGAGCCTCACCTAGGTTGCTGCCAGCTCAGCTCAGGGACACGGTGGGGTTCTCAGCATGTCTTCCACACACGGGCAGGCCCTGCACCACCCCCTGGCCATCCTTCTGCTGGGACTCACAGGTGAGTTCTGCGTCCTGCCCACCAGACCCTCAGCTGCCTGATCAGAGAGCCCTCAGGATTGCCAAGTGCAGCTCCCTGCGCTGCAGGAGCGCGACAGATCTAGGAGACCTGGCTGAGCCCTTTCCTGCCCACCAGGTGGTGTTTTGCCTCTTTTCCTCCATGTGGACCTTGTGGGAAAAGAGTGGGAGCTTGGGGGTCACAGGAGGAAGACATGACACAGGAGGGGGAACTGGGGGAGGCCAGGTGGTCAGAGAGGACCCCCCAGAATTCTGGCCTGGGTCAGAGTGTGTGTGCAGGCAGGAAGGACAGAGGCAGAGAGATACCCCCCAAATAATGAGTCCTGAACCTCAAATCAGACTAACCCACTCATCCCTCATCACTGACAGTCTGGGTAGCCTTGAGCAAGTCACTAAGTCTTTCTGAGTGTTTCTTCCCTTCTGGGAAGTGGGGAAAACAATAGCAACTGCCGATGGTTGGACTGTGGGTGAAGTGGGCATGTACACCTGAATGTGCTTTATAAACACAGCAGGCTGTGAGCAGGTGGGGGATAAGGCGGGAGCACAGTGCCTGAGTCCCAGAGCTGTGGGCTACGAGGACACAGGTCCACAGCCTTCCTGAGCTGCCCTCTGCCCCCTGTTTCCCTGTGCTGTCGTTGCGGGTGTGTATGTCTATCTTTTACCCCTGCTGCCTGACCAGAGGCTCCTTGAGAGCCAGCGTCCTGTCCCTGCACCCCCAGTGCTCAGCTCACAGCCTGGTGCAGAGCAGTGGTCCGGGGTGCAGCAAAAGCTTGGAGAGACTTCGCTGTGCACGTCTTACAGGCGGTCCTCAGGAGAAGGGACAGCTCTTGCTCTGTAGTTTTCCTGGGATGACTCAGGAGACAGAGCTGAGGTTAGGAGCAGGAAATACCTTGTCCTAGTCCTGTCCATGAGAGTGAACAAAGCTTCCCGGAACAGAGAGAACTCCTTGTCACGGGGGTGAACAAATGGGGAGGGGAGTGCCTTGGAAGGTGTTGATGGGAGCAACCCGACTGGGAGGGCCACCACCCTTGTTGACTCCACGCTCAAGCCATTATACTTATGTCCAAAATGAATGCTTGGCCGTTCCTGTCTCTACTTGGTCATTGCTCCGTTCTCTTCCTCTCACAAACACAGCCACCATCCATCCAGATTCTCAACAGAAAAACCTGGAGATCATTGTCCAGAATTCCATCTACTCTTCACGCCCCATGCACCTCACTGCCATCCTGTGGGCCAGATCTTCCAAATACATCTCCAGTCCTTCTGTTTCTCACCGCCCCAAGCCAGGCCGCTGTCACCTCAGCCTCCCTGATCGGCTTCCTGCTCCTTTCCCACCACCCTCCTTGCTGGCCTCTGCAGTCTTCTAAAAATGTAAAAAGCCTGCCTTGAGCCTCTGTTTAACAGATCACACAGGATGGAATCACAATTGTTACCATGTCCCATGGGGCTCCTTTCTAGCAGGGCCTCTTGCCCACTCACACCCAAATCCTACAACTTTCTTCGTTTCTTGGGTCCTCTAAGCTCTTCCCACCGGAGGCCCATTTTACCTGCTGTTTCTGCCTTCTAGAATGTTCTTCCTGGACCCTTTCCCATGGCTGGTTCCTATTCCTTTTTCAATTTTAGCTTAAAATATATTTCTCTGATCATGTTTCCAGAATGAGTCCTCCTAGTATTTCTGGGTTCTTTGGGTTTTCCAAGGACACTGAGCCTGAGGTATGATTGGATCTGTATTTGCCCTTTATTTGTTGCTATCTCTTTGTGACCTCCCTGAGGCCGGAACCAAGCACAGGACAGGTAGTAAGTCCCTGAGGCCTTTATACCATGCATCTGTCTTACAGTCTGTGTGCTGGATGCACCCGACTGTCAGTGCGCAGTCATAGTCTCTGTCTTTTGCAGCTGGGCAGCCCTTCATCTCTCTGACGGGCCCATCTCAGAGGATAATTCCAGAAATATCAGAACCTTTCAACTGCACTGCTGGACCCTTCAGCTCTGGGCACTTCAATGTCACCTGGTTTAAGAATAGTCACGAACATCCAGCCTCAGCCCAGTACTGGACAGCGGACAGCAATGGCACTTACTCTGTCACCAGCAAGGCATGGGTGACACTGACTGGAGAAGACGTCTTGTCTACGATCACTTGTGAAGTCGCTCACAGGGACCTTGATGAGCCCTTGCGAATGACCATGAACCTTTCCCAAGTGCTCTACGGTGAGTGGGCTGTGCAGTGTGTTTGTGTGTGTGGGTATACTAGCAGCACGGGCTGGGGGGTTTTTGCCCAAAGCCTCATTTAACAAGTGGAGATCTGAAATTTCACATCATCACCCCTCATCACATATAAGCAGATAGAAAAAACAAATCTTCCAGAGGCTGGCTTTGTGTCTAGGTTTTAATCTCTGTTGGGCTACTTCACAAGTTTTGTGATCTTGGGCACATTTCTTTTTAAAATTTTTTTCTATTTTAAACAAAACAACAAACACAATGATACAGAATTTCAAAACAAGATAACAGAAAATTAGCAATGGTTATTATGTTGCATGTTGTTATCTTTAAAGTAGTTGCTCAGGTTACAAAATATAAGCATGCAAAACTGATCAAACAGTATAAGCACAAACTGTTCCTTTCAGTGAACTCATTGAAATTAGTAGTATAATTATCTTAGCTAGTTTGTGTATATATATATACTTTTTTTTTTTCTTCCCCTATCCCAGTTGTTCTTTCCTTTTGAGCAGTTTTTTTCCCTTTCACAATATCTATTGTGTATTTTGGATTTTATTTACTCTTTCAGTTTCTTACACTAGGGAGACTATATGATGTTTACATATGAGAGTCTGATTTATTTCACTTACGAGTATGATCTCTAGTTGTATCCATTTACCTATAAAGCCTTGAGTTTATCCTTCTTTATTGCTGAGTAGTACTCCAATGTATAAAAATATCACATCTTTTTTTTACCCATTCCTCAGTAGATGAATATTTTGGTTGCTTCCAAGATTTAGCTATTACAAATTGAGGTGCTATAACATGGGTGCACATATATTGCTGTGATATGATGTTTTTAATTCTTTTGGGAAAATACTCAGAAGAGGAATAGTTGGGTCAAATGGGACCTCTAATCCTATTTTTTTTTTTGAGGAATCTCCACACTGATTTCCACAGTGGTTGCACTAGTGGTTGCACCAACAGTGGTGATGGGTTCATTTTTCCCCACAGTCCCACCAGAATTTGTTATTGGTTAATTTCTTGATTCTTTCTGGAGTGAGTGGAGTCTCAAATATTTACATTTCTCAAATAACCAACGATGCTGAACAGTTTTTCATATATTTATTTGCCATTTGTATTTTTTCATCTGAGAAGTGTGTATTCATCTCAGATACACAGATCTCTGGGCACATTTGCGAGAGATGTGAGAGATCTTGAGCACATCTTTGGGCACACTTCTTAACTATTCTATGCCTCAGTTTCCTTGTAAAGTGGGCATAAAATTAAGACCCACTTTGCAGGTTTCTTCTGCAGACTAAGGAGATTATTCCTTATGTAATACAAAACAAAGTTTGGCTTGCAGCAAGTTGCTCGTGAGTATCTGACATTTTTGTTATTATCTGGCCCCATCCTCCTTTTTTAAACCATCCTTGTTCAATTAGTACAGGTATACTAAAAATACAGCGAATATTTAAATTAAAATTTTATTATAGTACGAGACACATTGCCATGAGTCCCCCTCAAGACACTCCCCCCGCTTCAAACACACTTATCGTATTGTTCTTACCACTTTCTGAAGCAGTTCTGGAAGTTTTCTTTTGTATCTTCATGAGCTGTAATAAAAAGAATGCAATGAATGCTGCTACCAAGTGTCATCGAGTGGAAAAACAGGCTGCGAAAACAGTATGGTGTGTGCTCGTCCGCCTTGTTCACTGGTTCTCGCGCCAGGCAACTTCTGGCCTTCTTCAAAGTCAAAACAAAAGGACTCCCAGAACTGCTTTAGAAAGTGGCAAGAGTGACGGGATTAGTGTTTTTGAAGCAAGGGGAGTATTTGGAGGGGGCAGTAATGGAAATATATCTTCTACTGAAACACATTTTAAAAAATTTAAACATTCACCATATTTCTCAATCATACTACATACCACTGCTATTGATTTTTAATTCTAGATATTTATTGTTCACTCAGTAAGTAATGAATAACCACTGTGTGGCAGGTACTGTTCTAGGTGCTGTGGCTACAGTAATGAGCAAAATGAGTCTCTGTCCTCACGGACATTATATTTTAATAATTCTTACCATTATATTTCATCATATAAATTATTTCAAACATACAGAAAAGAATGTACCACATGCTCTTGTACCTCCACCCATATTTAATAGGTATTAATATTTGTCACAGTTTGCTTTACACTGAGCATAGAAAGAGTGAGAGACCTTGAGGCTGGCTCCTCAGATGGGGAAACCCAGGTTGGGCCAGCAGATAGACGCTAATTTCACCAGCTTAGTTTCTGCTTCTCTGTCTAGTTATCCCCTCCCTGAATATCACCAAGTCCTCTGAGACCTATGGCCATGATCATCAGAGAGTGAACCTCACTTGCCACGTGAGCCGTTTCTACCCCTCACGCCTGCAGCTCATCTGGATGAAAAATGGGCATAAGATCCTGGAGGAATCCCCTGAGGTCACAAGCAACCCAGATGGGACATACTCTCTGGAGCACATGCTGCCAGAGGAGGCCACACTGGACGGCAGTGAGTTTGCCTGCTGGGTGGTCCAGGGTGATCAGGCCCCAGTCAAGGCGGTCATCACAGCGCAGGCCTCCACCAGGAGCAAAGGTGAGTGCAGCTCTGGCTCAGCCCTTCCGGGCAGCAGAGTGAAGGCCAGGGGCTCAGAGGAGCTCTGGGTAAAGGTGGAGGAAGGCAGACGCCCTAGAGGTTGAGAAAATGCTCAGCCACTTCCAAAGTGTGCTGTCTCCCCCTCTGCAACATCCCACCAAGAAGGAGAGGTCTTTCCTCCCCCATTCCATGCGCTGGTAACGTGAAAATTCTCCACCCTACCTAAGGCTTGACTGTGAGACAGTTTAAGGATAACCAAGCTCCAGTCCCTTCCAGGAAGGCTGTTAATCAAGGCTGGTTCAGTTGAAGTTTTATTTTTATTTTTATATTTTGATCTTTTTTTTTTTTAAAAAGACAGGGTCTCGCCATGCGGTTCAGGCTGGCCTTGAGCTCACTTTGTAGCTTAGGCTGGTCTCAAACTCGCAACGACCCTCCTGCTGCAGTGCTGGCATTAAAGGTGTGCGCCACCACGCCCGGCTCAGTGGAAGTTTCTGAAAATCAGCTTTAAAGCGAGGCCAGAAGCCTTGACTGCCTTAGCTGAGAAGGAGCGTGGCTGCAGGCCCTCACAGAGGATGGTGTAAGCCCCTCTTTCTCCTCTTCCGGCTTCCATTCTTCTTCCTTTTCCCCTCCACCTTCTAACCCCAGTTTCTTCTCATCTGACTTTCGCGGCCTGAAATGATTTCTCCCACCAGGCGGCGCTGCCTGCCGGCAATTCAGACTGAGATGGGTGAGAACTGCTTTCCTTCGGTCCTGTTCTGATCCGCTTGGAGGGATGAAGTACTCCTGGCCCGGAGGGGGTGGGTGCCCGTGCCTTGTGAGGGGCGATCTGATGACTGGGGAGGGGTGGGAGAACCCGGGGAAAGTCAGCGTGCAGAGCGACAGGTGTTCAGAGAAGCACACAGCGGGGAAGGAGCTTTTTCCTCCCTGCCATGTGCCTCTGTGTAGTGTAGTGAACGGACAGCCTGGGTGCGCTACTAGAGACAGGGTGGAGGGATGTGGTCTTCACACACAAGACTTCCATGCTGCCTTCTCTGTCTCCCGGACAGAATTGCCCTTTATCTGCCTTCTGTAGGAATTCTCAGGGCAATGATCTCATTCACCTTTAAATCTGCACCCCTTTGCTGCCCAGCGGAAAAACGTCCACCCAGCGGGATGTACAGGTCTGGGTGAAAAGCTTCAAACCGTTCCTTTCTCGTTGGAAGCAAGTTGTGTTAGTAATTTATTGACTCATGCTGAGTTTTCCCACCTCGGTCTTATTTTTCTTCTTCACTTGCATACGGAATCTCTGGCCTGTGGATGCAGAATGAGCGACTGAGAGCATAGCTTTGATGACAGAGCCACCCATGCAGCTTCATGAGCTCCAGAGCTGCAGGGAGAGGGCAGCCTCCGCCTCTTCAGGCACTCAGGCCTCTTTCTAGTGGGCATTAGCTCACCTTTGAGGGGGAACGTCTTCAAGCCACCCCAAGAGACTCTTCCTGAGCACTCCCTCCCCTGTACACTCACACCGTGCCCTGTTCCTATTTGGCTAACAATCACAGAGCACTTACTCTGTACCAGGCATCTACACCCACTTGATTGGATCCTGTGACAGCTGGAAGGTAGCACAGGGAGCAATATCTCCGAGATCTTAGATAGCATCTTAGGATAGCTTAGGATGCAGCTGTCTGTTCAGAAATTCAGTGTGTTTTCCTGTAATTTTCTCTTCTATCCTGCCAGAGAATCAAACCTTAGTGTTCTCTCAAGTCTCTTCTCAGATCTGCATCTTAAATGCCCTATTTCCGATATTCATTTCTCCTCAACTGTCACATCTGCCTGCACCATTCAGTTCCCACAATTGGTGCTTAAACTGTGGGGCCTCCTGAAAGCTCCTATCCTGGAGTTTTATCACACCACAGACAGCTCCCCATTCCTTGGAACAGGGGCAGCCCCTTATGCTTGGAGGTGGTTACAGTTTGCAGTTTCAGGGACATGTGTCACACTACAGGGCTGTCCCTGCCCATCTGTGTGACCTCAGGCAAAGCAGCTCTCTTTCCGAGTCAGCTCTTCTCCTGCGGTGATGATTATTATTCCTACCTTGCTGGGACCCATGGGTTTGCTTTCCTTAACTCCTGCGTGGCATCAGGACAGTGGGGCACACACGGCTCTAAAATGATTGTTTGCAGTCTCCATAGTGCCCAGAAAGTTAAAGATCATTGATCAGTATAAAGCCAGAAGAGGTGACCATGATGTAGCAGAAAAACCCTGGGCTTGAAGTCAGAATTCCTGAGTTCCAATGTCCATTCTGTTCTCTGTAAATCCATTGACCAAGTCCCTAACCCTCTCTGAGCCTTTTCTTTTTCTAAAAATACAGTGAGGAGCAAGTCCACGATGGTCCTTGTGCATGGTGCTGGTGGTTGCCCTTTGTGGAGTCATTAGCATGTACCACATGGTCTACAGCAGCTCCTTTACTTAATTTATTAACTCTGAGAATGAAGAATCATCCCCACTTTACAGATGAGGGGCTGAGACTTAGTTAAGTTGTTCAAACTCATCCATGGGAGGCTTGGGAATGCAAAGTTAAACTGAGTGGGCCTCCAAAGCCCGTACTCTAACCTCTTCCCATGACCTGCCTGTGAGTACTAAGGGATCTCCCCTTTAAGAGGGACCAAGGACAGGGCTGAGTAGTGGTCAGGGGCACAAACCCTGGGAGGATTTGTGGCCCAGAACCTGTGGCTCTGCCGTGGACTAGGTTTAGCCTGGACAGATACTCAGCCCCTGGGAATCAGTTTCCTTACCTGTGGAATGGGATCTCTCCAGCAGGTTTGCTGTGAGAACTCAGTGAACTGGGAAGGAGCGCATGAACAGAATGTGATATGGGTGTTTGCTGTGTGATGCTTGCCTCCCTAAGGACTGAGTGGTCCCCTGTGGCTTCCTGTCCAGCCTCTGACAGCAGCTTCCGTTTGAGCCTATCTTCAGGGAACATTTAAGCCCCATGGAAGGGAAGCAGCAGAGATTCTGAAGAGTCATTCATACAGGGATTCAAACAACTGTGACACGGGCTCACAAGGGTCTCTCCTTGCAGGAAAGATGTCTTCAATCCATGACAACTTGGAAGGTCCCCAGCAGCGGTCTGAGCCAGGCACAAGCATCCAGTTGACGTACACAGTGTTCAGATTACATTCACGTTCTATTACGATGACCTGGTTCAAAAACAACCACAAACTCCAGACCAAGCCCCAGACTAAGATCTTCTCTAGCGGCGACACCTTTAATATCACCAGCACTGTGTCTGTCCCACTGGACAAAGATGATGTGATGTCCTTTGTCCATTGTGAGGTCAAGCAGAAGTCGTCACTGATTCTCCGGAAAAACATCAGCCTGAGCCAGTACCTCCGTGGTAAGAGCTTTCTCTTTGTTTGGCTGAGTCAGTGCAGAGTTGGGCTAGGGATTTCTCTGATTGTCAGTTTTCTCACTGAGAAAAGCTTTCACTTTGCTGTGCAAGGATTCAATAAGTAACACCTGTAAAATACTTGGCCCAGTGCTTACGGCGTACTGACCGCACGAAGGCGGCATTTGTTGTTGTCGTTTTAATTATTCTCAGAAATCACTTCCTTTATTTGTAAAATAGAGATAGAATATCTTCCGGAAATTAATTTTATTATTTATATTAAATGCTTTAGGGACTTCTAAATTTTACAGATTATGGTTGTATTAGATTATTACTTCTAGCTGGATATGGGTTTAATTTTTTGTTTGTCTGTTTTGCTTTCTTGGTTTTCATGGGCTGGACCCATGCTTGGAAGATCTGTAAATCAGTAAAGTCATAAAGTATCATGTCTAGAAAGAATCTTAGTGATCAGCTCAGTGTTCCTGAGAACTCTAAATTCCTGAGAAGTCAAGTGAGTGGTCCGAGGTTGCATACTGTAGCAGTAAACTGAAATCCTTAATGCATATTGGACTTCAAAATTTACAAAATATTTTTCTCTTCATTTTCCCATCCACAAAAATAGAAGGACCAGTGTGCCACTGTCACAGAAGTAAACACATTGTTTTCCATAGAGGAAAATAATGACATTAACGCCTCCGGCTCAGCACACAGTCAGCAAAGCACCATCATGAGAATTGACTTAGTTAATGTGTGTAGCTGCCTTACATTGCTTGTTGTTTTTGGGGGCTTACAGAAGGAAACTAGGGTGCAAAGCAACTTTTTAAAGCTGGTGAATAAATCCAGACTTCCAACTCTTCTATTGGTACCAATTGTGGGGTTGCCTGCTAATTCCCCAGCTCACTATCTTGTGCTAGGAGCTGATAGTGCCGGGGTCCTCCTTATCCAACTATTTGTTATCTAATTCCCCAGTGCTAAGACAGTTGTGCTGAGAAGCAATAGTCAGAAAATATGATTAGTCACAAGTGAGCTGCTATACCAGGCTGCTCCCTGCTTACCACAGCACAAAGTTTAGGTTGGGTCTCCTGTCGTGGAACATCTCTGCAGGGATCTTTGTTTGGGTTTCCCTGGAAGCAGAGCCTGAAGCCAGGACTTGGCGAGGGGGGAGTTGGGGAATAATGCTGAGGGTTGGGTTGTGGGTGGCCAGACGGCATACAATAAAGGGTGAATTATTAATCTGGGTGCCTGGGGGAGCAACTGGGAATACTTTGAAGAGTGGTGTAGAGTTGTCCCAAGAAGGAGGGGAAGTTGGACATGACTGCATGGGTAGACGGCATTTCATGGTCATAGGGAAAGCCAAGGCAGAGAAGCGGGGAGGTGTTCTGGGAGCTGCAGGTGGGACTCTGTGTGTGGCACCACCTAGCACTGCTGCCCAGAGGTTGGTTGTTGGCAGAGGTGTTAGAGCCCAGAACCCCTTGCTGGGGGAGGTCAGCCTGGTGTTGAGGGAACCCTGACAACGTCAGATCAAACTGTGCAGGTAGAACCCACGTCAATGGCACAGTGAAATCGAGCTTTTGCAAAAGTTGTGTTTCAGGAAGTCGATGCAAATGATCCTGGGCTACTGCTGGGATCACAGGCAAAGCTTTGAGGTGTTAGAAACGGAGGAAGAGGGAGGAAAATGTCTCTGATGATAATGATGCTGTGGGTACTTCAAAGGGAAACACTTTGATTAAAAGAGGGCCCTGTGAAGGCTGATAGAACACTCAAATAATTTCATTCAAAATAACTTTTTAACAAAGGTGGTTGTGAGTGGGGAATTTAAAATGAAGGACTTGTTGGTGCTATAGTTTAAATTTTGGCGAAAAAATCATGCCAGCTTCCTTGTATTCCGACCAGTTATTTCTCCTAAGAGGTGGTACACAGTTGCAGTTACAGTCTATATATAATTAAAATATACGTTAAATAAAATTATTTTAATGACACATAGTTTTCAGAATGAAGTTGTAGCCAATTCTTTTCTTGATGATGTCTGTGAAGCTGCAGCCTGACTGTGTATGGTTCTCTCCCATCCCCAGTCCTCTTTGCTTTTGGTTTTGAGATAAGAGTTTCACTAAGTTGCCTGGACTGAGTCTGACCTTGCAATCCTCCCACCTCAGTTTCTCAGAGTGCTGGAATTACAGCCATGTTCCACCATGCCTGACTTGTATAGGTGTCTCTAAATGTTGCTTCCCCTCCACCATACCAAGTAACTCTCTATAGTCTCCTCAGTGCCAGCATGGCCGCACAGTGCCTGGAAGCCATTATCAACAGCTGTGCCCAGGCCTCTGTTCTCCTGATGCAACCATGGACCCCACGCCACCAGATTAGCCACTTGCTTGGTGACATTGCACCCTAACCTGTTCCCCATGACACCACCCTATTACCAGGCCTCCACCATCCTAGTCTTCCTTTCTCAGGTCTTGCCCTTTGCCTGGCGAAAATCCCTGTGCTGGGCCTGGGTACTGAAGGTACCAGACTGAGCAGAGCGGGTAGCCCCCAGAGACAGTGTCTTACTGTGGCTTTCTCACCCACCAACAGCAGCATGGGTAACATTTTATAAGTCTAGGAGGGTGGAAAAGGAGGAAAGGATATTTTGGGGTTAGATGCCTTTCGCTCCTTCAAACAGTGTTGTGTAGAGATTTATTCTTCTGGTCTTGACTAAGACCTGAAATCTCTAAACTAGATCCAAATTCTTGGGGGGACAATGAGTGCACAAAATCTTGTCAGGTACAGTATTGGTGCAGGGCCCAGAATCCAGATCACCTGGCCCTTAATTTAGGGTTACAGCTGCACGTGCAGTGCATTCGTATGAAATTTACTGAAATGTGTCATGTTTTATAAGATTTCAAAATTCTTTCAGTATTCCTCATTGTGAATATATTCTATTGGGTACTCAAAGATTTGGTTAAAAATTTCTAGATATAGATGTATTTGATCCTAATTTCAGAAGCCTGGAATCATAATTGCTTACAGCTTTATAGTCTGGTTATCAAAGCTCCATTATGGTGAAAGCATTCTGTCTGTAAAGGAATCCAACTTATGCCACTTGTGACTTGGGCAATTCCTTCCTATGTAAAATACTAGTACCTAGGAGTATCTTGGATTTTAAGATTTAGTGCCTATAAATCTTCACACCATAGAATTATCTATTCATAGAATGAATCAACTGATCTATAGCTTTCTAGTAGAATTTATACTTCATGTTTAATACCAAAGTTGAAAAGAAAAGAAAGATTGGGATGTTTTCATCAATCTCACCCACCTCTCCACTCTCCACCTATCTACCCATCCATCCATTTCTCCATCCATCTGTTCATCCATACATTTATTCATCCATGCATCCATGCATCCATGCATCCATACATCCATCATCCATCCATCCATCCAAAATGAGTTCCTTTATGTATTCACACTGCTATTCCACCACATATTTCCTTCTGCTAACCAGTACCTTAATCCTCCCTGATGACAGGCTCTGAGCCTATCTCTAAGTAGAGGAACCCACCACCAGGGAGCTTTCAGTGGACTTCCCACTATAACTGTCTGCTTTCTTTGGGCTTTTTCAGTACCCGCTGAAGTAACAGTGTCCCGTTCTCCAGTCTCCCCTGGCTTGGTGACCATTACCTGCCATGTGCAGAGATTCTATCCAGAGAATGTGCGCATCACCTGGCTGGAAGACTGCCATACACTCAAGGGAAAGGAGGAACTTGTGTCCAAGAATAATATTGATGGCTCCTACACCAAGGAAAGTTCACATTTGGTGAACACATCACTGCAGAGGCATGAGCGGGTGTTCACCTGCAGGGTGCAGCAAGAGGAACAGCCTTCCCTACAGGCCAGCCTTGTATTGCCCATAGCACTCTACACTACAAACAAGTCCACTGGGAGTCTAGGTAAATTTGCTTCTTTTCTTGTGGGCTGCTGAGTCACCTCTGTCTCCTGAGTAGATTTCAGGAAGCACTGGGAGAGGGAGCTTGATTATAACTGAGATTTTGTCCAAATTGGGCATCTGTGAATCCTTGAATAACCAGACTAGTTTCTATTTAGTGGCTTCCTTTAGATGTGGCCACCTGAAAAGATTCTTTCTTTTTGTGTTCTGGTTTCAGTTTTTATTTTTATTAATATGTATATGTTTACGATATATAATGATTAAATTTCTTGTGGGGAGCTGGTACATGTACATAACATATAGCAATTCTTTTTTTTTTAATCCCCCTTTCCTCTCCTGTTCCTCCATCTCTTTTTTTTTTTTTTTTTGAGACAGGGTCTCACTATGCAGTTCAGGCTGGGCTTGAGCTCACTTTGTAGCCCAGGCTGGCCTCAAACTCGCAACAATCTTCCTGCCTCAGGCTCCTGAGTGCTGGGATTACAGGCGTGTGCCACCATGCCTGGCTCCCTCCATCTCTTGATCACCTTCCCATTTGAAAAAGATCTATCTCCCTGCTTCCTATTAACTACCTTTATTTTGCTTTTTATTTATATTTTGGATTTCCCATATAAGAGATTCAGAATAGCAAAAGCAATCCTGGGAAACAAGAGCAAAGCAGGAGGTACCACAATTCCAGATCTGAAGTCATATTACAAAGCTACAGTGATAGTAAGAGCATGGTCCTGGCAAAAAACCTGATATGCGCATCAATAGAACAGAATAGAGGATGCAGAAACAACCCGAGACACATTCAACTATTTAATCTTTGACAAAGGGGCCAAAAGCATATGCTGGAGGAAAGATAGCTTCTTTAACAAGTGGTGCTGGGCAAAATTTGACTATCTACATGCAGAAGGTTGAATCTAGACCCGTATCACTTGCCATGTACTAAGATCCTTTCATTTCTGTGAAGAGTGCATTACCAGCTCAACCTCCTTTACCCTAGAAAGAGTACAGCTTAATGGTAATATACTAGTGAATCTAAGATGGTTGTCAGCAAGACTCTCTTGTTTAAAATAGTCTGAGTTATGTGGAAGCAAACTTGCCCATACATTGTGCTAAAAGACTTGCTTGCACAGCCTCACCCCAGGCTGCATAATGTCTGCTGTGATGACAGAACAGGCTCTTCCACTTAATTCTTGCACAGATATATGACATTCCTGTATTCACTTGGATAATTGGTAGCTAGAGCCTAAGAAAAGTTCTTGTTCATAAAGTCTGTATGAGGATTACATGAATTAATGAAAGTACCTATTATATACAGGCTACGTATATGTCTACCACAAGCTTCAGTTACTATCAGTAAGTACTGTTACTATTCTTTGAATTCAGATAAAATTATTTTAAAATTCAGTTTCCAGTGATTACAGCTTTGGAAACTGTAATGATACATTGTGTCAACTTGAGAAGTTTAACTAAGTGACTCAGCAGGGAGCCAGAGTCCTTACTTTGTAAATATCTTGAGCTTGTGGAAGAGGAGGTGGAGATGGTGTAGGTGGATAGCCTGCATACAAAATAAAGGAGGAGAGAGGCTTCTTTTCTTTCTTGCTCTTGTTGGTTTTGGCTTCTGCCGCCTTGAACTATTGCCTCTGTGCCATGCTACCCTGCCTTAGAGCCAGTTGATTACAGAGTGAAACCTCCACAAGCTGTGAGCTAAATAAATCCTTCCTTCCTTAATTTGGGGTGTTGGGTATTTTGTCTTAGCAATGAGAGAAGATAAGTAAGACAGAAACTTATGCCACTGAGTCCCTATCTCTCAGAGTCAGTTTATTCATCCATAAATGTTGCTAATGATAACACCTTCCTGAGAACAAAGGTTATAGTGAAGGTTACATTATTTTTTAAATTTATTTTAAAAATAAAAGAAGGAAAACATATTAACAAACAGACATCCATTTACAAAATAGCATAAGAACAATACAAACAATACAGAGTTACAGACAAAGTTGTAGGAAATTAACAATGGTTGTTGTACTACGTATTGATATCTTCAAAGTGGTTTCTCAGGAAAACAAATAGAGACATGC